CGGCGTAATATGATTTTATCCATATTACAAAAAGATTTGGTTTTTAGTTTTACGTCAATAATAATAATAATTATTATTGACAACAATTCGTAACTCCTTATTTTGAACAATAATTATGGTTAAAGACCGCATCACTAAATTAATTTTTGTAGGTTATTTGATTTCTTAAACAGTGATAGTTAGAAACCTTGTTTTATTTCTCGTGTAATATTAATGTATACTTTTATAAACTGTAATTATTTCAGATTTTTCGCTTCAAAAAATTCGAAAATGGAAATAGAGAAATGACTATTTCTCACATTTCGACTATAAAAGAAAACTACGTAGCAAAAAAATAAATAAAATCAGTATTCAAATATATAAATGTTGCCCTTTTATATGATGCCCCACTTGGACTAATAAGTCAATTTTAAAATTTTGAGTATTCGTTTTAGCTCCGTAGTAAACAAAATAATGTTTTTTTTTTTCCTTTTTTTTTATTGTAATATATGCGAGCCAATAATATATAAAATTATTCCAAATTTCAAGCATAAGTAGTTGCTGAAATATATCGCTATGACAGACGGATATATGGACAAAGCTGCACTATAAGGATTCCTTTGTACCTTTTTGGAAACCTAAAAAATGATTATTCAAATACTCATAATTAAATTAACTTGAATAAAAAATATTTCTTATCATTACCACCGACGCCAAGCGTCTTTTATTTCGAATTTCCTCTCTTGTATTAGAATATTGTGTTTTGTCACTTCTTACGACATCATGAAATACGGGGACTTTCCTATTTGAGTAAAACCGCTACTAAATAAAGAGCATAACGGAACTGTCAGTTTATTACGCTGCTGTTGAATAAAGGAGGGGATTTTCTGGGTGTATTTGATGGTTTGTTCGATGGATTTCTGTCCTGATCCACTTACCATAACGATACCTTTATCGTCATTTATATTATACAAAATAGTTTTCTTACGTATAAAAAATATGATTGTCATACAACCATAAAAAATATAATTCATTTTATCTGTCACATTGTTAAGTATTTTGATTTCAGCGCCGATGATTTCTTGCCTAATGATGCTTGCGACTTCAAATTAGCAAGTTAACGTAAAAGCTTGTCAATACAATAGTGAAATTTATTTATACTATCAGTGACACTAATAGAATAACATACAAAAGAACATAAATATTAATAGACTAATTAGGGATACATATTATAATAATATTCGTCGCCTCGTATTTGTACCTTTCTTTTGGTTTTGGTATTTTTTTTTTGTAACTCGTATTTGTTTCACTAAAAAATCTATTTCAATATTGCTCAAATTAATGCTTATTCTCCTATGTTAATGCTTGATGAGCTTGCCATATAATATTCATTTAATAAAAACATAGTCTGATTGAAACTAATATCATCACTACATAGTATAAAACAAAATCGCTGTCGCTGTCTGTCCGTCCCTATGTATGCTTAAATCTTTAAAACTACGCAACAGATTTTGAAGCGGTTTTTTTTAATAGATAAAGTGAATAAAGAGGAAGGTTTATATGTATAATATTTACATGCATAATATTGTAGAGAAACACTGATAATTTTAGAGGTTTCTAATGTGACGTAATGTAATGTGTACCCGCGCGAAGCCGGGGCGGGTCGCTAGTTGTTTTATAAACGTTCTCTTTTTTGTGTATATTTTTATAGATATGTTTTAATTCAAATAAGTGTATGAATTATAAATTTAATTGAATAATTCATAATAATTACCTGTTTTAGTTATATAAAAAAAGAAAATAAATTATCTGCTCCTAATGCCCTTATTATTTATTTTTTTTTAACACGAAATTGGCAATAGATTCTTATATTATTTGTAGTAATAGTATGCGACAACATAACTTTAATTTTATCTTAATAGTAAATTGAAAATGTAACTAAGTGAAGTCTGTACATAAAAGATATTTAAGAAAAAAAATGTTTTATAAGAGAAATAGAAGCCAAAATAATAAGTTTTAATAATTTTTGTCTGTCTGTATGACTGTATGATTAAGAAATATATTAATATATGAATATTATTTTATGTTTTATTCCGGCATCATGCAGAAACTACTGCACTATATTGAATTTAGTTATCATAGTTATATTTCTGAGGATTCAACTTACAAGGTAGTGTATCCTGATATGTTATCTAGAGCTGACTTCATCATTGCAAAATCCAAACGTACGAACTTGTGGACAAAACTTAATTTAAAATAAGACCTAAAATAAAATGCCATCTGTTATTGTAGTTAAATTTTATTAGGTACATAAATAGGTCAATGCCAACCATTTACGGCTTTTGTATCCTCTTACGAAGTTATTCAACAAAGAAATAGATGGCGCTATGTCTTATATAACTCCATTACAACAACTAAAATTCTCCCAATAATAAATAGAAGTGAAAACCTGCCTAAGAACTAATTTATGCTTTTTAAAAAATCAGCAAAGCATTAGCCACTGTTTAAAAATTTCATTATTTGTATGGTCTTACGACCATTAAATTACCATTAAGTAAGACATATTAGTAGTGGCAAAAGTGTCACAACTGTATATATGAGTCGAATGAAACTGTGGTCAACTTTGGTATAAACCATATAATTTAGTTTTTTAATAACATGAATATCTTATTCTTCAAAAATGGTAAGACTTATACAAATTGTAAGCATCACAGCATATTCTATGGTGCAGTTTATGTTTTACAGGAGCTGATTGCCACTATTCATCAGGATGACCATTCTATAAATAAATGGTACTCGCTTATAACTGTGAAGTGGATATTGATTGCATTAATTAATCTATATCAATAGTGATTGCAATATAATTACAGTACTGCTTGACAGAAATTTGATAAGACAGTTGTGGTAAAACTGCACCAGTTAAGGGAAAGAGATTGTCAAAATACCTAGACTGATCGACCACCACACAATCCTCCTGATAACTATCAACCAAATTTAGACAAAGCACAAAGTAAAGCCCTTTCTATGGCTAGAAGTGATACCATTTTTTATTCATACTCCGTCACCACTCTTATAGTGTGTTTGGTGTTAGCGTCTTAGCGTGTATTTTATAGTATCTACATTTAATTGTAAAACTTGAAATATATACTCGCAGTAAAAATTTGCTTTATATCTAAATGAAGCTATTTATACCAAATGGCTTCATTTGGATGTTTATTGATATTAAAATGAGTTTGCGTATTTAAAATAAAAACTTTGTTGAAATTTCTTAAATAACATTTTAAGAAGTTTCAATAACATTTTTATTCATAAATACAATTTTATTTTATTTAACAAAAACAGATATTTATTATTACAAAGCGTTACTATAGAACCAATAGGCGAACAGACCCGATTACTTTCAAATTGATGAAGATAAATAAAAGCCTAAGATAAATACAAAAATGTAGTCGAATTGAAAAGATTCTGTGTTTTGAAATTCATTGATAAATACTTAACATATCACTAGATATGTGAATGACGGAAATTTTATAAAATTACTATGTTTTCATTTCTAAGAATTGCTTCGATTTTTTCCGCAAGACATGAAATGCATATATGTTTTAAAAATTTTAGTACCTAACATATTTAAAAAGTTGCTTATACAGAACACTGTTGCTGTATTATTATTTTCATCCTTTGACATAACATCCTTGACCTCATCGATCGCGTCTATGTGATGGCCTAGTTCGTAAATCTAGTTTCGAGTAAATCGTTTCGTGACTACAAATGTAGATACCGTCGTGATTTAATTTCGATATATACTTTTATTTATTTATTACTTAATATTTACTGATCGATTTATTTGTTTCTATACTAGGGTATTTACTTATTTATTTTAATATACAAAATATTTAAATAAAAATTTTGATTCATATTCAGTTTATAAATTTCAATAACGTCTGTAAGGTAAATAAAATAACAAACCCTTTTGGGTAGTAATGCTATAAATGATATTATAAAAAAGTACATCTACATTACTTGGGTTGGTTACTTTTTTAGACACTGATTGTGAGTCTTAACTAATGCAACGTGCATTAGTCATGGTTGTATATGAATTTTCTATACTTTTTTTTCGTTTATTTAATATTTTTTTTATAACACAGGAGCAAACGAGCATACGGCTCATCTGACGATAAGTGACTACCGCCGCCCATGATTACCCGCAACACAAGAGGCATTGCAGGTGTGCTGCCGGTCTTTTAAAAAGGAATATGCTGCTCTTTTGAAGGTTATGATGTATGTTTCGCCTGTTTTAATACTTGTAATAATTTGTCTATTTGTGTAAGCGTATTGCTATATAAACAAAATTAGTAGTGTAATAGAAGCTTGTTGACTTCTTTACTACTGTCGTATAAGATTAATGTTATTAAAATATGTTCCACGAGAATGTGTATCTTTCTTATTTTTTTATTTAAGACCTGTAAACCTAAATAGCACTGTGAATTTCACAGAACATCCTGTAATTTAAATGATATATCGAATAGGTTGATATTCTTAAGGTATTATATCTCCATACTCTGTAATTTAATTTTTACACTCGAATCACTGTTAAAATGAATATTTAAATAATTTGTAATTATTGGATTAATAAATTATTTGTTAGAAACATCGTTAAAATATTGATAAATGTTTTTGACATCGCCATTTTCAAAAAATTCAATCTAATATTCAAGTAATCCTACTGGTATTTTTTTTAATTTATAGTAAAATAAAGGAAATAAATAAAGCTTACGACTATAACTCCTCATAGGGTAATTAGAAGCATTTGTCGACTATTTGTTTTTTTTTTTAAGATAGCATATTAGAATCTAACATGTAGGAGATAAGCCAACCATTGTGTAGTGATTAATTTTAATAGGAAAAACTGGAATATTATCAATTCGCTCATAGATATTTTTAGGGATTTTCAACAAAAAAAAATGTATTTCAATTAAAGTAACAGACTGATTATACAACCTACAAAATAAACACAACATTGGTATGTTATAATATATATTCGTGAATCTCTTACATCGGTGTATTATAAATAATTCCTTTATTAACACACAACAAATATTATAACATACATTTCAATGAAGAGTAGCTAATCGATTATTATAAATTCCACTGATTTGTGAGCTAAGCATTATGATTGATGTATGAAATTAATACAAATAAAGAAAATTTATTGGTGACTATAAATGCATTTCACATATTTCCATTTGGTACAAATATAATATCAGTTAAAGTGTAAGTACTATTTTTTTTGCTAAACAACATTTCTACCTAAAGCCCGTCACTACGATATGCCTTTTCGTGTCCTTCTATAGGACTCACACACATTGCTAGATACGATACGTCTACAATTACAACTCTCTTTATATATCAGTTTATTCATAATGTTTAAAGTCCACTGCGGGATCTATTCAGAAACTTTTACTGCTGCCCAAAAAATCGACCAATCAAACTAGTACTGCTATAAAATATATTTTACGTCTATTTACCTATTATACTCGTATTATTGAGTTAATATTTAGTCAAGTCTAGTATAATTAACTGATTTTCAATATATTGGGCGGCAGTAAATAATTTCAACGTATACGACACCTGACTGTAAATTCTATACTTTGTAATATTGGGTCCACAACGTAATTGATTTCGTCAAATTGACATTTCCAAATTTACATTCCAATTTTTTTTTAATATACGCAAAGGTGACTGTAGATCAGAGGCTGTTGCATTTTGTTTAAGGTTTTTCAATAAAGGCAAGTCGCAATTTTTAAAACTCAGTATCTTGTAAATATATTGTTGCTTTAATATCAATGTATAATACATATATAATATTGAACAAATCTATATTTTTCCTAAGACGATATAATTTAGCGGCCTTTTGTTATATTCATCATAAATTTGATATATCTTTAATTTAGGTATTTTGTTGAAGCGATGACCAATTAAATAAATTATTATAGTTTCAATATAGTACGTATATGTTTATAATTCATCAAAATGATGTCAACACATTACTTAACTAATTTTCCTAATAATTAGTTCCTAAAAAAATAATGTGCTCATGTTTCAACAGAATTTGATATAAATCGTATTGTCTATGTCGTCTACAAGATAATAAGTCTAGTGTTAGCCCAGTTAGCGCGATTGTCGACTAGTCAGATTCAAAATTAGAACCCGATATTCGAAATTTCAAAGCCTTTTTTGCTGTATAAAAATAAATAAATATTTGTTTGCATAAATTGACTGCTAATTCCCAAACTTCAAACCAAAGGTGTATTAGTTTAATTTGTTCTCAACAAAAATATGAGTCTGAAGGATTGTTAATCTTCTAAATTAGCCCGACCAAAAAGGGAATCTAAGACCTCAGTTATGCCAACTAATGTACACCAACGGAATTGTCAATAACACAACCATCTTAGATTATAAGTAACATTTATCTTCTGATTTTAAATCTAACTGTTCTATAACCACTGGGTCCTATACTTTTTATTTACTCAATAATAGGTAACTGATGATGCAATTCAAGTAAAAGGTTACATAGTACAATATCACTTAGCCTAACAATTTGTGATTAAATAAACACCTATAGTTAGATATTAACATAGCATAGTAGGTAACAAGAATACAAACAGATTTATACGTAGGTAGATATAATACTATACAATTGTTTATTTATACACTTGTAAACACATATTTACAAACATACGGGCGATCTTATTAAAGATACCCGAATAAGTAGAACATTTAGTTATGCAGGCCAAGATCTGAAGCTTATTCAGTTACATGCAGTTACAAATACATTGATGATAACATTAATACAATATAACTTCAAGATAATATAATGATTACGCCAAAGTATAACAATAAACATTGATCAATTTAACTACCTTATAGTCGTACGAAGCAACGTAGTCTAATAGCAATAGATAACTGTAACACTAATTACATCTAAACAATTCGAAGCTAATTCAAAACGTTAAATAAAAAGTAACATATATCAAGAGCTTAGTTCATATTTGTATTAATTGCAAAATTTTTCGGCAAAGAATCCAATTATCTACAGTCGTGTTAAGCAACCCTAAACTCTTTAGATAGTTGCCTTCTAAAATAGACAGTTTTGTGATTAGATACATTATGAACCATACCATCGACATGTAAAATACTCTTATTACGTTTCGTCAGTGCGTCTGGATCAGATTAAAAAAAAAATTTGGTCCATATCTCAGAGTAAGACAGATTTTTACGATCTATACATTGAGTTGAAAGAAAATAACAAAATCCTAACTAAAATAGGATTTAGTGTTTTCGCACACGTGTCGTCGCATACGCATGCTCGTTGAGAATGCAGCATGGGTCAAGACGAATATGCGACTAACCATATGTGAAAGAACTTACATGTTGTATACGCAGCATATAAATAAATAATTTATTTCTCAAAGCTCTTAATAATAAGATCTCGTTGTAAAACACGTACTACTTAAACGCAGCTTAAACGATTACATACCAATTATTTTAATTAGCGTAAAATAATCCTAAAAGCGAATAAATAATAAAAAATATATTTATGCCATAAATTCATCATTAAGATAAAAATTTTAACAACTATTAGAAGTATCAGATCCCTACTCCAGCTCGCAATATACATAGATATAGCTATCTAACACCTATAGGTTTTATAATACTAATACATTTTTTTTATTATTGTTACACAAGTTTTTAACAATCACTCAATCAATTTTTCTTAAATTACTTTATGCTTGAAATCGTAACAATTATAAACCATTACCATTGATTATAAATTATATATAATACAATTAAAAAAAATCACATTTCCTGCAAAAAAAAATTATAAATATATTTAAAAAATATCAAGAAAATTTTTAAAGTTGGTTGTAACAAAAACATTTTTTTAAAAAAATTCAAGCATTTAAATATAAGGTTAAATTTTTTTAAATAAAAAATTATTATGTAATAGCTTTTTGTCAACATTATTAGATTTTTTAAATTATTTATATTTTGAAAAATATATCGCAAATAAATAAAATTTAATATTAATGTGAAATAAAGAATTACTTACTAAATTAAGCTATTATAAAACGCAAAACTAAAATGTTTTCATGGTATTGTGTATTCTATTAACAGTTACAGTTAGGGTTGCTATTGCCTTGCGGCTGTTCTGTGAGACGTTGTCCACGTGCTCCACCAGCCAACATGGCGGGCTCCGAATCGAGACTTTCGGACATCTTGTCGCAGATTATGTCGACCAATCGTTCAAATACAGCCTGAAATTTAATATGTACACATCAAATAAGGAAAAGATCTACAATAATTATTACAAACTACAGGAACAACTTTTTACTTCACTTTATTTGTTTATTTATTTATTTTAATTTTATGTAAAACAAACCGATCATGTGCGAGTTCAACTCACACACTGGGGGTTCTGTACATACATATATATGACATATAATGACTTGAAATGATTGCATTTTTAAAATAAAATATACACCCAGTATTTATTATTATTGACACAACAATTAGTAATTTCTAATTTTGGATCATAACAGTAGTTAAAAAAAACTGAATTGCATAACTATGTTTGTTTAGGAAGTTTTTTAATAATTTCTCAAAAACGGTCCTAGTTACAAATGTCATTCTATTTTTCCTGTCATATTCATATCATCATTATTATCATATATAATTACTTTAACTTATTATGTTTTTCAATTCGAAACACAGCCATACAAGTACAATTACTTAACTGCAGGATAATCGAGTGCACTGCAGATACCCACATAGACTTTGTCTCAGTCGATATTCACTTCTACATATTTGTGTACTATTAGGCGACTTATATTAAAAAAAATATATAACTAGTAAAATATATATAATTGGACAAACAGATTTATAACAAATTTCCTGTAGATAGACCACACATTATCCTTATTTGTATTGTTATTTGTGGGATAATCTACAATCTAAGTAATCACTAGGTCTGCAGTTATGAACACATATTTCAGCTAATCTACTATTTTGTAATTACACAAATATCAGCAGCTGTATATAGTATTAGTGCTGGTGTGGCTTCCTGCCACGGAGAAAATAAGTAACTGATATATTATCATCATGATTTCAACCATTATCCGTCCACTGCTGGACATAAGTCTCCTCCATAGAGGAACATGCCATAAGGAACGGTCCTGAGCCACTCGCATTCACTGACTTCCTGCAATGCACTTGAGGTTGTCACTCCATCTAGTGGTGGATAATTGATATATTATGTAACATATTAATTACTTTGTTATCTTATAGAACAAGAGTAGATTCCAAGATTGAACTTAGAGAAGAAAAAAGTTAAAGTTGGAGAACCTCTTATTTGGTTCTACAACTATTATTGAGTTCCTATTTTTATTATACCGAATCCATCGCAATCTATCTATGTTTGTATAGTTATGTATAACTATTCACAAATCATTAGTTTTTTTTTAATCAAATTGAAATAATTAGTAACACACTTTTATACATAATTGTAGATTAAAAAAATCAGAACTGACTAGTTTGTTTAAAATATTAATTTAATAAGCACTCTTAAAAATAAATATATAACGATGCACAATGTTTGGTTTATAAGTAATTAATGCATTTACCTTAACATTGATGTTCTCTTTAGCACTTGTTTCATAGAACTCTACTCCAAGCTGATCGGCCAACTGTCTCCCGCGTTCTGCGCTAACCACACGTTCTTCCTCCATATCGCATTTGTTGCCCACCAGGATCACTTGTGCGTTGTCCCATGAATAAGTTTTAATTTGCGTTACCCTGTAATTTTAATTAACATATTTAGCAATTTCTTATAATTTTAATTCTCATAATATTCAATATCTTATTTTCAAGGCAATGTGAATATGAATTATTCGAAAAGTAATTGGGGATGTATTTTAAACAGAGAATTACGTTAATTTTACTTGATTTTGATCTTATTCCATTTTGTAAGATTATTTATAACAAATAATTGGTTTAGGAATTTTTTATTATTGATTATTTTCTCCAAGTCATGCTAACTAACATAATAAAGGAACTAACTGACTGATCAAGATACAGTTGAATATGTTAAGTGTAGAAAAAATATTTTTTTGTACAAATTTTTCTACATAATTTATTTACTATTTATTTGTTGTAGTTATATCAGCTGCTAACAGTTCGCTGAACATAGCCTCCTTCATAGGAGAGAATTTTACCAGCAGTTGCCGTGCTTGGCAGACGGGTTAGCAATCGCAGTTTGGCTTTTAGAGGGCCGCTGCTGCCCATCCCTCTACCATAAGCCCTCTTTACGACACCCACGGGAAAAGAAGGGTGGCCTATAATATATTGGGGCCTACATAGCAATATTTTTTTATTTATTATTATTAATGTTTTTATTTATGTTGATTTAAATTAAATAATATAATTGGTCACTAAAAAAGTTTTCGGAAGTTCTTTAGGAAGCAGAATACAAGTCCGTGTAAATAAGGATGCGGGAAATAACTACGAATTAATATTTACCTTTATTGAACAACGTATATTGTAAATCGTTAATTTAAGTCGATCAATAATGACTGCAAAAGAAAAGCTGTTTCTCATTCTTTTAATTGAACCCAATTGAACTTAGTAGTTAAAATGTACATAATATAACTTACCAATCTTGGACGCTATTAAAGCTTTCTTCATTTGTAATGTCGTACATTAAAATGAAACCCATAGCTCCTCGATAGTATGCTGTAGTTATGGTGCGGTAGCGTTCTTGTCCTGCAGTATCCTGAAATAAAAGATCCAGACATTCGGCTTATACTAAGAGAACAAGAATTTTATTATATTGTATGGTATCAATGTCTCACAGAGATTCTGAATGTCAAAAATGTAGATTTTATTTATTTTGTACTTGCACAGGGTAGCAAAATTCTCAAAATACATAATTAACTATTACATATATAACGATTGAAATCTGTAGTATCTGGTAAGTAATAACGTCAAAAATAGATGCAATATTATTAGTAATATGTATTAAGATTTCATCCTATTTGCCAAGTGTAATATATTTTTAACATACATTTTTTTGCATTAACTTATGAGGAATACATTTTTATTAATACATAGATCACTTATAGCTTGTTTGCTAATGCTAGTCAACCACCAGATATAAAATGGCAGCACTACGGGTACCATAGAATACATTAGACGATTAATGCATTAAGAACAATTTATTCTCATTTTAAAATCATACAGTACATATTTTCTTTTTTGTTTTATTTACTTATTTTTAATACCTAGTATAATAATATATATGTGGTAAAATATCTTAAAGTATCGTACCCATATCTGAAGTTTCACCCGTTTGTCATGGCGAAAGACTGTTTTCACCTTGAAGTCAATACCAACAGTCGACACGAATGCTGAAGTGAACGAGTCATCCGCATAGCGAAACAGGAAACTAGAACATAATATTGATATTTAGTAGTAGATATTTAGTAGAGATACCATTAAAGTCTAGTTTTTATTTTCTTCTTTATATAGCATTATAACAGTGAATCGTCTATTCTATTAAAATACTATTTTATTAGGGTTGAAAAATCCGTAGTATACAAAGATTTTACATACATACATACATATCTGTCACGCCTGTCTCCCATTAGGGTAGGCAGAAACAAACGCCAAATGCTTCGATTCAAACAAACCCCTTTTTCTTCTTCCAAAGATTACAAAGATTTTATTCGCATAAATATCTAGAATATATTGAAAAGAGATAACATCGAATCTAAATGTCATATTCATAATTGATATATTTATATTATACGATGCTTTATATGGTAAAATGCAGTGTAGGATGACCCCAAATCCATTGAAGGGAGTCAGTGTATGCAGAAAACTTAGATATTTTCTTTAGCAATTTATAAAGTAAGTAAGTATGCTTAAGGTCTATTTTAGAAAATTATTTATTTGGAACACCAACAGCTTTTCCAACAATAACAGTAAATATAAATTATAATAAGAAACAAATAGGTGTAGTAATAGGTCTTCACATAAAGTCATTATTAATGGATAATTAAGAGCTGAAATGACGATAATAAATTAAACTATTTACAAACTTTGTTCGTTTGACGTTAATCATGATATAGGTACATCAATCGTAAGATAAAACTTGATATCTGTATAGAATGTCAAAGTTGTTAGTTGAATAGTCATATGCATGAAAATATCCCCTAGTTGGAGATAATGGTGATAATATCATGTAGTCATATTGTTTTACAAGTTAATTTCTAGTGCTACAGACAATGTCGTAATAGGTGCGTTTAGTTAATGTAATGAATCTTGCGATGTTTCTATGCTCAGTGGTAAAAAAATCACTGAAATGTAATATGAAATATAATATATTTTCTTATTCAGTAATAATTAATCAAGCAATCAGACATGAGGTTTTTAAATTAAAATAAATAGCATCCTAATACGATTATTTTATATAGATAAATAATTTAGTTGTATGGTAATACTAATGTAATATTAATAAATTTTAAATAATATAAACACGAAAATAAATATTTAGAATTAAAAATGTTTTGACTATTAGAAATCATCATCATCAACATATTAGCCATCTGTACATTGCTGAACATAGGCTTCCACCACATCTACTGACTCCCTGCAATGGAATTGACGTCGTCACTAAACCGAGTCCTACACTACGTTTGCCCGTACGAGGTCACTACTTCAGAATCTTTAAATCATTATTTGAAATAATTTTAGTATAAATACTAAATACTACGTATGTGTATTTTAAATTAGAAAAAGGAGATATTTTTAAAGAAAAGTATATACGTATTAAAAATAATTATTCTACTATCACGTAAAATATTTTGTAAACTATTTATTTATATTATGATCTTACCTAGTTTTGCCTACAGAGCTGTTTCCAATGATGAGCAGCTTGAACATATAATCGAAATTTTGATCTGCAGCATCCTTCTGCCATTTTGGGTCTCCACCGCCAGCCATCTGTAAGAAAATAAGATAAACTTATTAAGATGTTTTTTTAGGTCACCTGCCTTTTTAGATTATAATTTTTTTATTATTTTATTTAATATTAAAATATCGAAATAGTATAACTAAAGGGTAATATCTCAATCTCCGCATTAAGTTAGTAATAAAAATATATTTTCTTTTTGTTTTTTTTTTGAGTATTTAATCCTGATGTTATTTCTATATCTTAGTGTTAAGTGGATATATGTATTAATATTCGGTACCTCAACACATTTTTCAGTTTGTTCCATGCCGTTATTAATATTATCTTCGTTATTATTCATTTTTATTTTTTTTTTTTAACAGTAAACTGCTAACACCACTGCCGCTGCTTGTTTGTACAAAATGGTTTGCGTTTACCAAGCATAAAACCATTGGATTAAGTAAAAACCAACTTTATTACCCCGTGTTAACACATACAACCCACATTACCTTCTGAATTTAGAAACATAAGGCCTTATCATTTTTGGCGATAATAATAAATTTTCATGCTTATTGCGTTCCCGATAAGAATTATTTTGTATCGGTAGTGGAGCAGAAATGTCCTTGTATAACAAATGAACACAACTTTAGATAATACCACCGTGTCGTCATATCCTATGCGATATAATAGTTGTATGTGTGAATACACCACAAAAATGTAAATAAGTTAAAATCTATTAAAAATAATATGATGATGAAATAAATTTCTTTGTTCTGAAGACAATAAAAGCACGTACGCCAATTACGAGTGTACATTAAAAATTATAAACAGTTTTCCTTATATTTATTCGATAAAATATATGTGGATAACTACGAGTATAACAATTTTATGTCAATGTACCATTAGGTACTTAGTGCAACTATTAAATATTTATAACATATATAATTTTTATATGTATGATATAAAAATTATATATGTTATAAATATTTAGATTAGAACTAATTAGAGAGACAAAAGTCGTTTGCTTGGGTACCTCTGTCCTATCCCTGTTTCTGCCTTCATGCAATTGTGCTTGCATGGCTGTGTTTCTGTTTGGCAGTGTATTTATAATGCAAAGAAACATAATACCTTAGATCAAATGAATGGCAACATTTGAAGGGTATCATGGGCGACGCAGTATATTCTATTATATCTATGGTTACTGTTTATGTCTATAGGCGACGTTTACCACTTTCGATCAATTGGGCCGTCAGCTTGTTTGCCATTTTAAGTTGCATAAAGAAACCAATTTAGTGTGTAATCTATACTAAACACACAAGGACGTAGTGACAGACCCGCCATAGCGTAAATACAGTATTTCATACAATGTGTATTGATGTTTTGATAAACACCATGATAGCGATTTTCCATCCCCATTGTGTTCAGTTTGTTCCCTGATGAGAAACAAACAAGAAACTTGTGTGGGCGTGCTATACCTCATTATATAGTATAAACATAGAGGTAATGTGACTGTTAGCGATGGAAATATTGCCTACAATATAAGTGAAAGGAGTATACGATTCTAAATTCATCTATTAAAAAGATGTACAGATTTTTTTTAATTAATTAATAGTAAAATTTATTTGGGGACAGTATTCGATGTAAAAAATATTTTACGAATGTTTTTGTTTTTGTTATAATAATAGTTATATTTATTTATTAATATGAAATGACGCGTATAAATTCTTAGTTCCAAAAAAGTTTGTTACTTATAAATACATTATAATTCTAATTTTAATAAGTATATATTTTATTTATAACTATAACTATAACTTTAGGATTAATATATGTAAAATTAAAAAAATTATTAATAATTAAATTAGTTACATTCTAATGTTATTATCTAAATGTGGACCCGTTAGGTGTTAAATTTATTATAACATAAAAGTGAACAAATGCTACTCACTATCTTTTTAGGGTTTTATCTTTAGAAAGAATGAGTACTTTTTGGAAATATCGTAAAAAGAGTTTAAGAGTGATGGTATTTTTTTATATATATATTTAATATATTCGTTAAACTGTATGATGAAATTTTTCTAAATAAAACGTGTATTTAATAAATGATCTGTCTTTCATAATACGCACATAGACACTACCATCTACAGATTTGTATTAATCAATCAAGTTAATTCTGTCACAATGAGAAAGTTTATTTATTTTAATGAGACTGATCGAAATTGATGAATAAATCTTTTAATATTTTTTCTGGTCATCAATTACTAATTCATAAATACAACAGAGTAATAATTTAAATGGTTGGTGTTATCCATAAATCTTCAAAATATTACGTTAACATGCTTCAAATTTAGTAACGCCGTATTTTTAAATGTTATTTTATATGTACAGACGAACAGAATCCCGTATCAGAAACACGTGAGTGTTTCACAGAGTATCTTCAGTTTAAGAATTTTTGAGAAATTCATAGAAACCCTGTGCAATATGTCTTTCGCTTTAGACCCAGAAATTTCGTCTGTGCATTATTTATAGTTAGTTAGATTCGCTTGTATACAAATACATTCAAAACAAATTCAACGACCTTGCGAAGAGGATTTGAAAGAAAATTCATTTTAAATAGCAGATAAGTCAGATATTATAAAACTTCTGAGCAAAATTTAAATTTTCTGAACCTAGTAACGTTTGGTTTGCTTTGATAGAATTACACACACACACACACACACACACACACACACACACACAATTACTTTAGAATTACGCATTAAAAATTCAGGAGTTATTCTTAATTGAAGAAAAATATGGTTAATAAATTAATTTGAAATTAGAAAATATAATAAGTTCATTATTTACCTAATAATATCATAAACCAAAGGAACCGACATAGCCCGAATGATAAGCAAGCTGAAGTGGCAATGAGCTGATCACATAGCTTGAAGAACTGATAACCGATGTGGAAGAAAGGTTCTTGAGCAGTGATCCCTTTCGGGAAAACGCAATGTAGGACGACCCTCTCCCACCACTAGATGGAATGATGACCTCAAATACATTGCAGGGAGTCAGTGGATGCAGGTAGCTCAGGCTAAAGAACGGTCTTTATGGTAGTCTATAGAGGAGGCCTATGTTCAGCAATGGACGGATAAGATGAGATAATGATGATAATAATTATAAACGTAAAAGTTTTAAAACTAGTTTAATTTTTATTCTTCAATTACGATATAGCTGAATGGTTTTTAATGAAACTTGGTACATAGATAGCTCATATTCTAGATTAGGAGATAAAATATGTTTTTTTTTTCTCGAATAAAGCTTTAACCTGTAAAATTTGTGAATTATTTGAAAGTTCATCATTTAATGATTGACGGATCAATAAATAGTTTTGTGTAAAATTTAATGACGTAAGTTTTAGTTGAAAGCCTAAGAAATCCATAAATTCTACTCTTTGAGAAATGCCATCTAGAATTACGAGTACATAATAAAGTGATATAGATCTTGGAAAACTATCATTATTAATTACAAATCAGAGATATGTTTGTAAAAAATATGCAAAATATTTTCTTCTAAGAAAGAAACAGATCTGTAATGAAGGTCTCAATTCTCATAATAATAATACTCAAATCAATAGTGAGAGACCATATCAATTGTCTCCCGACCTTATTCTCGTAACCGTAACAAAAAGAATTCGTTTCTATGCCAAATACTATGTGAATGCTAAACTTCAAGACGATTTGTCGAGCCATTAAGATGTCAACATACACATATATGCATATTTATAATATTAGTAATAATATAGATATTGTGATTCTTCTTTCTCTTATTACGATAAAAAAAGCTACTAGACCAATTTAGAAGAAACTTTACCAACTATGGTTTGAAGGAATATTAAATGTAACATCCCTGGATGTCATAAGGATGACTAACAGAGGCACAAAACACCCACACAAAACTAGAAAAAATCGAAATAACATCTTAGTCTTCTAATATAATTTCTTCTAATAATAATAGCAACAACAGAAGACTACCTGTCATGGGCACAGTGAATTCTGTAAACTCCATGATGCTGTTCATGTCTACAGGCAATGGTTATCAATTTGCATCATGTGGGATTTCTGACAACTTGTGTGTCATTATTAAATGCATAAAAAAATAAAATACTATATCAAGCCGCCTGTTCAACGCAGTAAATAATTACCATATTCGTTAGGCTAAGTTTAATATATTTTTTAAGGAGAGCCAGTAACCCACGCCCAATTGTAAGATATTAAGAGGTGTTGTTGAACAGAGGAGTAGCCATAATCTTAAACGCAAATACGGGAGCAAAGTAGTATATTTTTTTTTTGAAAATACTCATATATAAAAAGTCTGTATATAATAAAAACCTTAAAAATTTTGTGTCTGCTGTACAGAATAAAAGAAGGAAATAACTTATCTCCCATTATTTTTACTCGGGGTTAGAAAACATGTAAATGTAATAATACAAACCTTTCTTCAGTCTTTCAGCAACCAGTCGAAACACAAACGTTAAATCTATTTACTATTTATATTTTAACGCTGAATACCGTTTCAATGGTACAACAGTAAGCCACGCTGTATATCTCTCTCCCTTTCACATTCGCACTTTGTAACGGGATCGACTACCACTATTTTACGCGTTTATCGATTTCTTGTGCCTATTTTGAAAACCCTACAATACCTACAGTTTATAAATCTTTATAAAACCCATTCGAGCAACCACAACGCAAAGTACACAATCCCAATGCCGCCGTCAGTTTAAAACACACAAAAATCGATAATTCTGTAGTTATTTCGTAACAACCAGTATGCCACTTTCCGATACTTTTCGACTTTTCTAGCAGCTCTTCAGTTTCTGTTACTTCAATCCATAATGAGTATGTTACTTTAATTAGGTGATGAACTGTTTAAAAATTAACTCTAGAGCAGGGATGAGCAATGTTTCGCGCTCACAGCTGTTACCTCCTGTAAGCTCCCTCTCTTAGTAAAATGGGTATAGGAGGAAAATTCAAGATGGCGCGGTATTGCGCGCGCAGGCACTCGCGCACCTTGTCAAACTCACAATGTGATAAATCTGATTTTAAGGACGGACAATTTTTTGAAATAATACTTATCTAAATAATTAAAATTTTATATATTACTTTACCATTGTACATATAAGATTATTAATCAAATATACCACTAATTCTCTACAACAATGTAAAGTTACATGTGAAATAAATTAATGTTAACAAACATTCAGATTTGTCAATAGACCAGTCGCAAAAACAATCTCTTGATTTTAACAAAGTAAGTGTTATATGATTTGGGTATTGTTATACTTATTTTACATAACTCTGTATAAAACACGGGATATTCAGAGGTTATTTTTAGAAACAAGCATCTCCAGACTCGACAGTTATTAAATTTATCTTCGATGCGCATATAAAATCTTTTGTATTTTTATTATAAACTAATTTCATATAATAAGTATTTACTCGTATTTTTATAATTTTATAGGGAATCAAATTAGCTTTCAGAATTATAAAAAAAATATATTTTATTGATAATTATATTTTATATGTATAATATAAGGCTTCATTATGAAGTTTTCAAATTTATATTAATTTTATTTTACGGATTTTTTTGCGGCTATATTTAGGCACAGATAATATAATACTATACTAATTATGTACACATAATAAAAATAAATATACCTCCATGTTAATCTGGATTATAAATTTAAATTCTACCTTCTCTTGAGCCTTTCAAAGGTAAACCTCAATAGAATTGATTTAAATAAATAAGTAATACACATTTGGCAAAGATTTTCATTTACAAAATTAGTAAATGTCACTTTATTTTAAGATAGACTTCTGAATAATTATTTAGAAACCTTAATTTCAATAAAATGAACATTTTAAGCCTTAAGTTGAACTTTGCCTGGATTACCCTTTAAAATTGACTTCTTTATAGAGGATTTAAAGAACTTACAATTAATTATAAATTATTATGACATAGAAAGATTATACCTATATATCTTGCAAAAGGCAGGGACAAATGCTTGCAGCCTTTCATAGGAGCCTTGACCTCCCGTTGACCTAATTACCGACTTGCAGCTTCCATACTACAATTAACATGCGTTCCTTGATTTTAAAATAAAGAATGCCTATAACATGATTCATTACTTCTATTATAATTAATAATGTAGGAACGTAATATAATATCTATATGAATCATATACTCATTTAATGATAACAATATTTCTTAAAAATAAATAAATTATTAATAAATATCTTTTATTTTCTGATCTATGGCAATTATAAAATCACACAAATTAAGAGAGATTATATATTAACTATATATTAATATAAGATGAGAAACTTAATTCACTTTTTCTTATAGGTACTTAAAAGTACCACAAACAAATTTGGTAGGTAAAATATAAATTTTAAAATCATTAAATATATATGTGTAAGTTATTTTATTCATTATTTCATCGTGTATTAAACAGCTCATCCAATAATTACGAAATTTGGCATATCTACGCGTATTATTTGGCATAGAAGAGTACTAATGCTACTTTTTATTCCGGTTAATAAAACTGTGAATCGTTTATGTGAAGTCACGAACATAGCTAGTATCTTACTCATGGTCATATATATAAACACATAATTTAAATTATAAAAAGTACAGGTCTAAAGATATAGATTTAATCAGAGATTTAATTGAGGAATTAGAAATAGTTACAGGTGATTAGAAAAATAAATTCAAAACTATATATAAGTTTAATTCAATTAAAATACTCAATTTTAATAATACATACAATGAATCAATTAAGGTTCTATAAAATGTTTTCAATTCTAATATATGCAAATAAATAAATAAAAAAAAAAACTAATTTTATCACCACACAATTATTTATCATGTATTGTGCCCTCTATTTAAACTGCAATGAAAATGCAACATTTGCTGCTATTTTTTAAAATACTATGAAAGTATATAGGTTAAATATTTTCAATGGAGCAAGAAACATCGCCTTGTAATAACATTCTTAATTTCAGCTTAAATACATAGATGGCGTTGTAAGCTTCATTTCGTTTTATTTTTTTATATAGCAATCACACATTGCATAAAATAATATAAATAACAATATACTTAAGATATTAAAATCCTAAAAAAATTGTCAATATCAATTCAAAATTGATGAAGATATTGCATAATATAGGTACACGAAAAAAACTGCAGACGAATCGAGAGCCTTATTTTTTTTTTGAAGTTGTTTAAAAATCAACGAAATTCAAATATCAGTAACAAAATGATTGCCAAATATCAAAGAGCCAGGAAAAAATTATGAGGTAGAGAATAAGTATTTGTTGTAATATAATAATAGGTATATATTTCATTCTTTATTGCTGGAATGCATTGTCTGAAGGAATCTGAGAGTTTTCAATTAGATAGGTCTATCTATTCAGAAAAGAAACGTCTCATCTTACGAATTTCTTAAAATTTTTATTATCATTTTTTATACTTTCAATTATCGATACAATTTTGTTTTTAAAACATCCATATAGCAGTATTTAAGTGTATATACAACGTTATTATGTTTACTTACTTTTATTCTATAAATAAATTTCACGTTCGTTATTTACTATTCATCCCTAACGTTTGGGGGAAAGGGATTGGTACTAATATGGTCTAAAAGCCCTTCTGCTAGTAATATATCTAATCAGGTCGATCTCCACCCGGTTACCCCTGGAAACAATTGAAGTTGATTATTGTTCATTCTCACCTATCATCCTTCGCTGGTGCCCCGCCAGTGTACATCGATAACGTAGGTGGAGTCACCATTTCATTTTCATCCACTAAACAACCAAATGTTAAAAGGTAAAGTACGCCATAAGCACTTAGTCCATCATGCCATATACTCGCTGGGTTTATACATTTCTTTAAATAAATTACAGTTTCTTCACACAAGCTTCCACTCGAATTCTTCAAATTGGCGGTAAAAAGATTTATAAGAGCTATCACAGAATATATTAAAGGTACTAAAATGTATCTATATAACACCTTGTTATTGCAAACTTATTACGTTCAAGTATGTTATTATATATTTACGCTTTTTACCGTTGCGTTAACTACATTGTTAACAGCGTGGTGAGATAATGTAATATGTAGTGAAATGAATGAATGAATGAAAATTTATTTTAATAAACCATAACAGTTACATATACTTAGATTATAGATAATAACAACATAAAAATAAATAAATAAATAAAATATAGAAAAAGAAAAGTTTACATTTATATATAAAGAGTAGAAATCAGTCAGTGTTATGGTAATGAAAAAGGATGTCAATTCAGCTTAAAGTTCCTGCAAAAGCAGAAACGCTGATTTTCAATTAGCACCTCAACACCTCGCCCGGTCCATCAAGATCATAAATCAACATTCAGAGTAACACGTAGTTGTGGTATTAGTAGTGTAGTCGTAGTATAAAATATAATTAAAATACAATACTTAGTTTGTGGTTATAGAAACCAAATATATATACATACATACATATACACACACATATATATATATATATATATATATAATGTTCGCCGTGTAGTCCTGGCATAGAATAGGTCACCGCTTTCTTTTTCGTGGATGTCATAATGTGGAGTGATGTGGAGGAGGCATGTGGGCAGCAGCGTCCCTCTTAAAGCATCTCCAAAACCTAACTGTGGTTGTCAATCTGTCTGCCAAGCATGACAACTACTAGCAACCCTCTATCCCCCCATGGCTTATGCCCAATATGTGTGGACAATTAAAGTCTGATATAATGACGATGATATGAAAGTGAGCATATTTATTCGTTTGTTACCTTTTAGGTATATACGTATTATATGTGAGTGAGAAGAATACGTACGTGATCTATGATCTATCCCAGTCAGCGAACATATCCTGGTCATGAGGCCGAAGTCGCCAGTGAAAGCTAATTTGAAATACTTTTCATACTTCATACCCGGGTAAAATAATCAAATACTTTTTATTTTCTCTCTATGCAATAAAGAATGTAGAACTGTTAGTGTCTCTATCTTAGTTTGTAGTGGTCATTATGAAGACAATAACAAAAGCAAGTTTGAAGTATCTTACATTGTTATACAATGAGGACTCCGAAGATAATGATTCTTGAGTAACAACGGCTAGATTTGATTTATAACTGTGCAATTAAATGTTCATATAAATAACAAACTAGGCGGTTTCGCATATAAATTCAATGTATTTGTAGATGCCTTATGAAAAACATACAATTGAGATGTGGATTTAGTATTTAAACAAAACATGTGTATAAACAAAAGTCACAATCGATTTTCAGTCGCGACTAAGATCTCTTCGAACCAGTGCCAACCTTCAGATAGAACGTCACAATAAATTATTGTAAAATAGTAACGGCCTCCGGCATCTGCAATATACACTATAGTGCCGTCTAATAATAATCTTTAAGTATATAATAATTTCAATAGGGAGTAAACGAATTACTTCCTTATTAGGCAGGATGTGTGCTAGTTCAGTATCCTGGAGGCAATTTCCGATAAAATAGTCTGTCTCATCCTAAAATAATAGCTGGTTCAGATTATAAAATAAGTGTATCTTATATATATATATATATATATATATATATATATATATATATATATATAGGTAATGTAAATTATAACCAGCAAAATAAACCTTTATGTTACCAAAATAAATAAATAATAATATTTTTTTTAAACACAATTCACATCTCCGTTTAAGGAGAGAAGATGGCAAATTAACCACCGGCAGAAGCACAGTCGGCCGGGGGTTAGTTTATAATTATTATTATATCGATTGTACGACTGGGACCGCAAAATAGTGAGGCATTCGATTGTATAATCGATAATACGATATAATCCATGAATATTTAATAATTGATTGTAATTGAATAAGGCGCTATCGACAGTATCAATAGTAAGTAAACTGGAACATAACTTATACTGAATTTAATCGGTAATAACTGTTTTTAATTTGCTATTTGTATAATTTTAAATTAATAATATTTTTGTTACATACTAACATCGAATATAATCGATTAAATTTTGTAAACATTTAAATCGATACTGTCAATAGTATAAGTACTCTCAGTAGACCTATATATATATTTAGATTATTTTTGGTGAAACTATCGATTAATTGTTAAAAGATTGTTACGCAACACTACTACACGATGACAGCTGTGAGATTACCGGTGTGGAACATAAACAAATTGGGATTTTTCAGATAGTTTCAGTTTACGATTACGACCTATTTTAATTAACATTGACCGTCGTTAAATTTGGTACTTAGTAGAAATAGCTACGATCTAGTTATATTTAAGTATTGGGAGTTCTTATATGAATATGTGTCGATTTAACATAGACAAAAGCACGTTTCTTTTTATAAAATAACTAGCGATTATCTCCGGCTTCGCACAGGTTCATAGATCGTATTTTATATTAGTTTTAACAAGCCAATTTTTATTTTCTTGGGTTATATTATTGTAATTTTTGTAAAAATTTCAATTTTTTTTAAATATTATAGGTATAGCCTTTATTACTCAACAGTAGATTTAAAAAAAAAATATATATATATATATATATATATATATATATATATATATATATATATATATATATATATATATATATATATATATATATATATATAATTGCTTGTAAATAAGTCAATTTGAACAAAAATGATTTGAATTTATAATATAAGTAAGGAAAAGTACATAGCAGCGTCTGAGTAAAAATGTTATTTCAGCGTTATACATTTTAATTACATGCGCAGGTCTTTTTTCATGAAATAAATAACGTTGATGACAATTTTTAATTAATGATCGAAAGTCTGTAATTGTTAGGGTATAAAAATAGTATTGTAGGACTACTACAAGCGTTTAGTGGCGAAAGCGGCTATTACGTTAAATACTCCCCATTCTCTTAATGATTCCCACTAGACGGGAGACTTGTCTAATAATAGGAGGATAATAGGTAAGCATTTACTTAAAATTAAATAGTTTGAGCAAATTTATATAGTTTAAGTATCCTACAATCTAAACTTGTGAATTAAAATATTTTTTGTCACTTTATGTTTTCTGACAGGATTGACTATCGACAATCTTCTCCTTTTTGGGTGAAAATAAAAGATTCGTATTCCTGCCGTCAAGCATTTGTTTCCATTACTATATATATTGCATATTTGTTAGAAATATTTCCAATTTTTTCTACGTTCTTAATACCCAACTTATCATTAAATAAAATATTGGAGTGTTTTCAGATGACTAGGTTGCATAAGAACTAACATATTTATTTATATACCTACATAATAATATGACTATTATCTTTTGAACCCAAATCCAAACTAGTGGCCATTTTACTAAATAATTGATTAGCGAGGATACAATGAAAAATATAACAAAGGAAGCTCTCGCATCAAACAAAACATATTATAGGAAAATTACTTGTAAGGCCGGAAAGCCATATACAGTTGAGACGATATACTCGTATCTACTTCCGCGATTTACCACCTTTCTATTTTTATGACAATTTCCTATAAAGATATTTTGAAATAACAAGATTTATTCTTGTTATTTCCAAATATTTTTATATATATATATTCTATTATTTCACGAAATATACATTAGACATATATGTTTTTTCACCTAACGTGCGTTTATACATTGGCATTAACTTACGTTATGTGAAAAAGTTTATTAAATATGATTCAATATTTTTTAGGGATTTGAAAAAAAAGGAAGTCCTGAATTCATAAAAACGCGAATATGGCACTAATGTTAAACTGAAATTGCTAAAATTTATTGCAGGGTTTAATTTCAAGTTGAAGTTGCTGTTTTTCTTTGCAGAATAAAATTTTGCAGATACCACCTTTTAGTAATATTTCTAAATTCTAGCAGTTTCTACTGTGCATTGACATATGTATGTATATATATATATATATATATATATATATATATACATATATATGCAAGCTTAAGGTAGAAAGTAAAATCCATAACTGCTAATTACAGAAATAGTTAATAATTAAAATAGCTAGAAATAGTTAAATAATTCTGAACCGTTACTAATGTGTTTTTCATTGATTTGATGTCAAATGTCAAACGCCAACTATTGGTGGCAATCAGTGAGTAATCAATAATTAACGTCATTTTTGTAAGTAAGAAAAATATCTAAACAACAAATATCGGACATCAAATCCTATTTCGATTTATTTTTTACACTTATTTATTTGATTTATTTATGCGTAGACACTTTCGTGGACTAAGGTTTTTTATGCCACTTAAAATAATAAACAAGAAGACGGCCGAACTAATAGAAAACGGTAGCCGTCGCTTATAGACATAAATAATACCATGGATATCATTAAAATATTTTTGTGGTGCTGTGCATTGCTATCTAGGATAATTATCGTATTAAGTGATGATATTTAGCTATATTATGTTAGATACATGTTAGATATTAGGTTAGATACAGATACAAATTACAACATTACAATTATTTTAAGCACTTAGAAATTGTTATCGTACGGTTGACCTTTGAGTGTCGTCAAATAATTTCGTTGGCAAAGACATTCGGTATGTCGCGTCGGACTACGCGGTCCGCGGAAATGTCGTCCGTACGAGAATAGACGCAGCGTCGACAGGCGTACGAGTGACGTCATGTCGCGTCATGTGTTTTGCTGAATTTCGAGTGTCTCTTTTAAAATAATTACACGATAATTGATTTTTAATTGCAATTCTGGAACCGTAACATTATTAATAATGACAAGAACATAGGATCAAATTAATTATGTAAATTCTTCTATATTGTCGCTGTGATTTTAGCGTTGACAGCTTGCGTTGAGTTACGCTTGACAGCGGTACGAGATTGGAAGTTTGAATCTCATTTACTGAAATTTTTAAATTTATGTTTCGATTGTTTAATAATGATTTTCATTTTGTTTCGTATTTAGAAGAACACGTAAAACCCTCTGATATATTTTGTCAGTTATCTTGTATGAGTATATACAATGTTATATCATTTCTCCTAGTTGATTATAAAATAAAGTAGAAAATACGGTACAAGCCAAATAATCTGTTGATTTTAATTTTCTCTCTGACTGGTTAATTGACTCTACAATTTTCAGGTCAGATTACACTCATCAATGTAGAAATTCGAAGCTTTATTTTGTATTCCATTGTTTATAAGCCTATATAGACATATAATTCTATTTAAGATTATGGTATTTCTGTTTGAGATGAATAGACTTCGATACCGTTTGATCGATCACTATGAACGTTGGCACATAATATGTGTGTCAACTAGTGCATATTGGCACATATACCAATATCTGTAGGTACATATTTTCTCATGGAGAAGATTTTTATATTAATTGAATTATGTTGGTATTTTTGATAACTAACATGGCTAAATTAACTCATTTATTTAGCGTTCAATCAATTGCCTTCTTCTTGTAAGAGGTGATTGGCATTTGAACACAGAATAAATATGGTCATGTGCTACACATCGATTTCTACCTATATCATCTATTTTTATGTATTTATTTATTTACTTTTTATTGCACCATTAAAGAATAATACTAATTAAACAGATGCAGTACAAAAAGCGGCCTTATCGCTAAAGCAATCTCTTCTAGACAACCTTTGTGTAGAAGAAAAAAGAAAAAAGGCGCACTTCTTAATATAAAAAAATAGATACAAAGTTATAAAATTAAACTAATTACTATTCTGTTATAAATTAACAGAATAGTAATTCAAGTCTTATAATGCAGTTGCTTCAGTTTCCTTGGTACATTGTTTACTATATAGTTTTTTGGTAAATGTCAATGTTGTAACTTGTGGTAATAATACCTATATATCCTTTTATTTCTAAGTTAAATATCTAATATATGTATATTCACACGTATTTTCTAATTTGTTCTATACTTACATAAAAATTTCAAATTTATTGATCATTGAACGAGTTATTTGCTACAAAAGTTATATATCCATTTTTTTTTTCCTTCCTAGAAAGAAACATTTATTTAATAGGCCATTGTTTATTAAATGACGAATAGAGAATGTCAACAAAACCAGCTCTACAATTATTATCGATTGTATTAACTGGGTTAACAAAACTGTATTAGTGACAACAAAAATACGGCGGCCTTTCAAAATTGCACGGGTTTGCATGTCGGTCGAGTGCATGACGAGGGTTGTCGGCGGGGTAGCACGGCGGCACGGAACCGTACACGGCACGGGACTCGGCCAGTCCTACGTCTACCCGCGCGGTCGCCGCCCGCCGCGTAAGCCACGCGCTACCTCGCGCGATACCTTAATGGACTACGATCGACATAACGAACACATCAACTTATCACATATAACCCTAAAACAACCTAACCCCTACGACAATTAGCGAACGAATCGTGCGAGTTTTTGAAATGTACGTTGGAAACATTCTTCAGAACTTTTCACGACTTTCAGAGACTGGTGACACAATCCGCTAGTTTTCTTTTTTAGTGAAACCCCGCAAGCACATATCTCTTCTTCACACATCATGCTTCACATGAGTGATTTAAACCGAAATCTATTTATACACAAAAAACGACTGAAACTTTCTGATAGCAGCCTTTAAAAAGTTTACACCCAATTTATAAAACAATTTACACAGTTTTACAAATGATTTCGAACTTTACTTTTTACCCTTCAGAGCAACCTTTAGAACTTAAGCAATTTTGACCAAAGACATTAAGTATATGTATAATAGTGTGATCTATAAACTAGAACTTAGCCAGTGTGTTTTTAGCTCAAGTGTTTGAAAGACATAAATGTGCTATAGTTAATTAGTTTAATATAATATTGCAGTCTTAGTGTGTGTTAGTGTAAATCGGTTATTTTATTCCATCATTAATCTACTGGTAAGATTTTTTTTTATATAGCGTATTATATATACATATATATATATATATATATATATATATATAATAAAAATAATAAGTTTGTCGTAATTCTGTTTATTTGATAATCTATCAAGTCTATTCTAAAAAGATTTTTTTTACAATGTGATAAGTAATTAAACTTTTTACATTAATTTATTATTTTAATTTATTTATTGCACTATTTCAGATTAATATAACTTAATTAGTTTCTCCGTTTTATTACTTAAAAAAAAAACTAAATATCTGAGGACATTGAAAACTTAGTAGTAGTAGATATATAATATAATTAAAATACAAAATTAATAGCTTTTTAATTCAATTAAAAATTCTAAACTGTATAGACATATGTTTATAATGATAATGTGTCATTTTTATAGATATATATATAATTTTGTATACTGAATTAATACGAGTAGTTCGGCGGAAGTCCAGTCTTACAATTGTGTCTTAAAATAATATTGTTTTTAAGTGTCTTACAACGAGTGTCCGTGTTCTACTTTTATTTAGCTCATAATGAGGACAGTTTAAATTCGCGATCTTGTGATGTTTTAAAAATATTGAAACCTATAGATGTTTGAACAAGACGTTACATCTATTAGCTAATTACAGAAGACTTTATTATGTCATTAAAAAATAATGTTTGTCTAATAGAAGGTTAATGAGATTATGTGTTTCGCATATTAGATTCAAGGCTATTCCATATTTCAAAATGAAAAACGTAATTAAGTAGTTACATGGTTCTAATAATTTAAAATTATAATATCATGACAACACCTATATACATTTGTACACATTTATATACACTTTGTTAATATAATACATCAGCACTGCTATTCCTTATCAGGGTATCGTACGAAGGAATGAAGAGAATAAAACATAGTGAGTTCACCAGTACAAAAGCAAAAAAACTCGAAATAAAAGCACATACTAAAACGTTTAGTAAAAAAAAACAGTAGTACTTAGTAGTTATAGTAGTATGTTCTTCTTAATAAAGAGAGAACTATTCCCATTCGTGGGACGATAATGGATAATTATCGTTTTACTGTAATAATTTAAAATTTTGTATCGCAAAATCACCAGCGATATCATTCCTAACAAATTAATATTGGACCGAAACGGAAGAAGATAAAATCGCAATGCGAACAGAATAATCATTATCTGAATGAAAGAATTGACAAAGACATCGCGTAACATAGGTGCACAAAAAAGTACATTCAATTTAAAAAGCTGCCTCTTTGAAAAAAGAATAGGTCAATAATGTACTATATAACATAGGTATGAATATTCATAAAAAAATTTTGATACGAATTAAAGAAATATATATAGATGAACTATATATCTATATATAAACTAGTACCCTAGACTTCTTGTTTCAACGCATGTAGAGTGCCGTGGATATTGTTTTCTATGATGTCTATGGTAATATATTCCTTTAGCGATTATTATCATTTTTTATCAGGTGAACCGTCGGGCGACAGGTAACAGGCGACTAAGATAACTATATTGTCTGCATATAATTCTCTGAGTCATCGACGTAAGCAGCATCCCTCTTAAAACATCACCAAAGCCTAACTGCGGTTACCAACACTGCCAAGCGTAGCAACTATTGGCAAAACTCTCGTATTGGGGAAAGCCTATGATCAGCAGAGAACAGTTAACAGCTGATATGCTGATGATGAACCTTATTAACTATTCCAAATCTTTACAAAAGTACCGAAATCATTTTATTGAAATACTGTGCCTCAGCAATTTCAGTTTATTTTAATAAAGAAATCGATCTGAATTTAATAAAATCATAAATTTTAAAAAAATAAAGATGTAGCGTTGTCTGACTGTTTTCCAGTGAACACATGAAGCATAATATCAATATAGGTACGAGTTTTATAGAATATCATACGCAACTTGTGCCAAGTCCAATGACATCGTGAGATATTTATAAAACAATATTATAGTGCCAACCCCTTTTCTTGAATGCATTTATACATAAACACAATCACAACAATTATTTATTACAATGATACATTACCAGAGATAGAGAGTGTATAAAAGCAATCTGTCTCTGCCTATTCTTGTAACTGCCGCTAAAAAGTTGTACTTCCGTGGCTGTATTTCAGTTTTGAAGTTTGAGATATGGCAGTGGAATTATAGAATATGGCGGCACCACATCTGAGGTTCAAAATATTTTATATCCTCAAAAATCACAACACATTATCTATACCATTGACGTTAATATCCATGGTGCTATTCATATCTATGTTTGTTCGTAAAACTTTTAATTAGTTACTTTCCTATTTGATAATTCAAGTTGCTCATAAAATTAGCTTCTGGGTTAGATAATTATATCCATTCAATGCAATGCAAAATTGCTCTTTTCTGCAGTAAATTTTTTATTCCATCTAGCACATAATTATAAGAAGTGATTTTCTTTTTTTCTAACGGCCTACTAGATGTAAAATGATAACCACCGATCGCCTATAGACATGGACATAATCATTGATAACACAAGATATGCCTATAGTATTCCTCGTGCGTTATGATTCCTAAGGATTTCTCTTACCGTACCTTGTAATTTTATTATCATATCATACTCTTGAAACCAAAACATAGTTACGCAAACACAGCTACTTCGTGACGGAAATACAAGTGAAACAGAGATCCCAAACGGTGTTTAAATTCTCCTTCTGGTTGCTTAGAAAACATAAATTACATAAAGCAATTGAGATAAATCAGGAAACGTAAGATGGTGTTAATATAAATGTGACCTCTTATTCTGCCATAAGTGTACACGACCGGGTCGACAGAAAAAAATATGCTTATTTCGCCGGGTCTAAAAAGGTTGAAAGCCATTATGTTGTAAAGGATTTATAAAATCCCTAACGTCAAAAGCAATTACACTCATTTCACTTTGAGCCAGAATTATACATAAAACAGAGCAGTACTTTAGTAAACAGTAAAGTTGATTTCATATACCTAAAATTTATTACAACGCTTCTAATATAATTAAAATTGAAAATAATTTTATACATGGAATTAACTTCTTCTCTTTACCAGCCTGCCCCGGCTTCGCACGGACTTTTTGAAAATAATTTGCACAGCCAATCTTACTTACTAATAACTAATATGTAAAAACGGTTAAGTAGTTTTTGAGTTTATCTATTACAAACTAACATAAAAATATCAAATATTTCCTCTTTATAATATTTAATCAGATATTTATTTTTAAATATCATATAAATTACATACATAATATAATAATAAAAATAATGTTTAAGAAAGAAAATGTGGCAGAAACATTAGAAGTGAGAACAAAGTGGTTTAAAACAATAAGAGTAAAAATAAAAATTACTGTTTGCGCATTTTTTTTTTAATCTACACTAATATTATGAAGAGGAAAATTCAGATTTTTTGTTTGTTAAATAAATTTAAAAATCTTTTAAGCAATTTTAAAAATTTTTCACCTATAAAAAAGTACATTAATAGTGAATAAAAAAGCGTATATTATTTAATAAAAAATGATCCTTATACTACCTATCTACGTAAAGCCGGAGCGATGCGAGATTATAATGGCCTAGTAACCTCGCCTGTGCTATTGGTTTCCGCTGGCGGGGTACCATAAAAGGATGCGATTGAACTCAAGTCAAGTGACGAATTCCTTAGAAATTAACTACGATAGTTTCCAAGAATATATCCGGTCAGCTAGCTATACATACATCTAATAAGGTCGTTAATTCGAATTTGACCGATAACACAAAATTTGTATGTCAATTTAAATTTCCAATAACTCTACGGTGATGGAAACTATCCATAATTTGCTCTGTCTTATCTTTTACTAATCTCTTATTTTTGACTCCTATTTCATACATATGGATTTTTGAAGTAAAAAACTAATGAAACAACCCAGTTCTAAATGACATGTCAAAATAAAATGTGTTATAGATTTTAAGTTATAACTTTAGAAATAATCATCATGTCAGTCTTTATCTGTTCACTGCTGAACATAGACCTATTCCGTAGATTACCATAAGGAACAGTCCTGAGGCATCTACATTCACTGCATTGCATTTAAGATCCATCGAATACAAGTGTGAGAGTCGCATTTAATTTGCAATAGTTTTGTGCAATAAAAATTCCCAAAAAATATTGTTTTGGCATCTATTGGCTTTATTAAGACTTCTCATGCTTATTTTAATATATATGTATAACGGTGGCCAGTTTACAGTTTTATTCAATATAAAGTCAATCATAAACTAGGTATTGTAAATTATAATAACATAACACAAATTTAAGATTTCGTTATACCAATAAATTAACTTCTGTCTTGACAAAATTGTATCATATAGTTTTTAGTATAAGTACGCCCTTAAAATGAAATACATTCAAAATTAGGCTAGATTTTATGAACAATCTTATGAAATATACAAAAGAATTGATAACTTTGATTAAAATTCTAAAGCAAAGAGATTTTTTTATGCAACTTAGAAAGACAAACAAGCTGACGGCCCATAATGAAAAGTGGTAATCGTCGCCTATAGACATGAACTGTATCATAGATATAACAGAGTATACTGTTTCGCCCATGATACCCCCCATGCGTTGCTATTCCTGAGGACTGGCAACGTATGAGGAGGCAAGGAATTGCAAGGTGTAATATCCCTGTACCCTGTAAATTCACTGCCATATCTTACCCTTCAAACAGAAACATAGCCATGAAAACACAACTACTTCATGGTAGAAACACGAATGTGACAGAGATACTCAAGTAAACGACTTTTGTAAAACGTCTTTCTCTAATAGTAAAAAGCGAACTAAATTTGACTCAGTATTATTAATTATCATTCGTTCGCATGAATATGAGTTTATATGTCAGTTGGTGGTCATTAAATGAATCCATATTAATTCACCAGGTTTTTTTAGAAAGCTCCTATAATACATACCACCAGAGAGAAGTTAGTTCTTAACTTTCCGAATACGTGAACACT